GAGAACCAACAGGGACGCACTCCCCCTGTCCTTCTCCCTGCACAGGTCATCGTACAGGGCGACCAAGGCAGATTCAGTACCATACCCAGGTCTGAAGCCAGACTGAAATGGGTCCAGATAATCAGTTTCATCCAAGAGTGCTTGGAGTTGTCCCGCCACCACCCGCTCTAACACCTTGCCCAGAAACGGGATGTTGGCCACAGGTCTATAGTTAGTGGCCATCTCTGGATCCAGTGATGCCTTCTTCAGGACCGGTCGAACTACCGCCTCCTTTAAAGGGGCAGGCACCTGACCCTCCCTCAGAGAAGCGTTAACCACTTCCAAGATCCAGATCCCAATCCTGTGCTTGGAATTATTTATTAACCAAGACGGGCAAGGGTTCAATAGGCAAGTGGTGGGACGTACTCATCCAAGCACCTTGTCCACATCATCAGGCCGCAATAACTGAAATTCATCCAATAATTCTGGACCAGATGGCAGCATTGGTGTCTCCCCAAAAACCTCTGATTCACTAGTGGTGTCCAGCTCGTGACGAATCTGAGCGATTTTCTCCCTGAAATGCCTGGCAAAGTCGTCACAGTGGGCCTTTGAGGGTGGAACCAGATCTTCCTTAGGACCTGGACGAACCAGGCCTTGCACCACTCGAAAACCAGGCCTTGCACCACGTTCATGGGTCGGGCCGGTGACATGTTGAGACAGCCCCATGGCCGTCATGGAGGCCATGAAGTCCTGAGCCGCCCCGGTCAGACCAGTCTCGGCATGGAGATTGAAGTCCCCCAGGACCAACATCATGGGGGTCCTCAACACCAGGTCCGAGACGGTCTCCGTCAGCTCAGGCAGGGAGACTGTTGGGCAGAAGGGTGCCCGGTACACCAACAGAATCCCCAATCTGTCTCGGGCACCCAACACCAAGTAGAGGCACTCCAGCCCTGGTCTCGAAGGGACAGGAAGTCCCGTGAGAGAGATGGAGGCTCGTTAAACCAAAGCGACCCCCCTCCCCTCCAGGCGTGAACAGTGCTGAACCAGATAGCTGGGCGGGCACAGTTGAGAGAGGGCAACATGCTCCCCCTCTCCCGCCCAGGTTTCCGTGATGCAAGCCAGGTCGGCCCCCTCATCCACAATCAAGTCATGGATGAGGGAAGATTTATTATTGACCAACCTGGCATTGAGCAACAGCACCGTCAGGCCCGAGGGGCGGTTGACAAAACTACCTGGCACCCTCTGGCTGGGGGCAAAACCAGAAGTAGGGACAGGTGTCAACCATCTGTCCCTCCTTCTTCTGCACGGAAACATTAAGCCCCCACCGCTGTTACGTCCATTGCCCAAAACCACCTCAATGGCGGTGCCCCCGCGCTCCCCAGGAAACACAAATGTCGACATGGCCAGGGACGACTCCATAAAAACAGATTAAAATACAATAAAATTATAAAAACAGTTAAAAAAAACTCCCCCTTCCCTCGGCTGTATGTCCCAGTTCAGTGGCGGCAGCAGCACAATATCACAGAAGCACAGCCTGGCAGGAGGGCCAATTACAACACACAAACAAAGCCCCTGGCCAGCCCAGCCCCCCGCTCGGCCCCCGAACAGCTCCCAAATGGTGGCGACTGCCCTTTGGCCATCACCCTTCGGCCACTGGCCCTGGCCGCCGCCGGCGCTTTTAGGCCGCAGGGCCCTCCTGAAGCCCCACCCTGTCCCGCACGCCTCTCACCCGTGCGGCGGGGCGGGCCGGAACCGGGTCCTGGGTCCTGGCTGGTGTTTGTGGGCCAGTGGTGCTGGCCTCTGGAAGGTGGCACGGCAGCCGGAGCCCGTAGGGGCATTGCTGCCGAGCGGCGACGTGATGTCCTGGCGGTGCGGAGGAGGTGTGCCCCGTCCAGCACGCTGGTTCTCCCCGGCCGCCACCGGCGCTTTTCAGCTGTCTGCAGTTGGGATATTCTGTGAAATTGACAGCTGCACATCTCCTGTCCCAGGTGGCATGTCAATTACCAGATAATCCAGTTGCTGCCAGTCAACCTGTCTCAATAATTTCTCTATGGGTGACATTACCATGAAGCCTTGCCAGACAATTGGTGCCGTCTCTTCTACTAAGAAACCCATTGACATACAAGTAATCCCATAATTCACAAGTGGTCGCATTAAGTTCTTTGGTGTCACTTCTGGACTTCCTTTCAAATTCATCATTTTTGGTATTGAGGGCCCATATACATCAGCATCAAGCAAGCCAACTACTTTTGTCAGCAGTGGTTGACTTCCCAACGCCGTCTTTCCCAGAGGCTATAACCAGGATGTCCTTAACGCCTTCAATGGGCTTTTGCTTTGGAAGTCCTCTGGCCATGATTTTGCTTTGCTTGTCCTGCAGGGCCGCATGGTTCACAGTGGATGACTTAAAAACAAACCCAAAAGAACATGCAACGCAAAGCCGTTACTCAAGTACCAAATACGGTAGTTCTTTCAAAGTAATACTACTACAAATAATGTGCCAAATGAGATCCCTTGCAACGTTACACAAAACAGCCGTCGCCTCGGTTAGAACTGGGCAGGACTCATCATCATCGTCATTAGCATTATTTTGCTTGTCTGTTAGCAGGAAGGAGGGGACCTTCTTCAGTAGATCATTGTATATAACTGGTTGCTGATTGTTTGGTAGATCACAAACTGTACAGGACTGACTTAAAGTTAGGTCATGTTTTTAAAATGCTGAGATTCTGGGAAAGTACCTGGCTTCAAGAGTAATTTGCTTAAGAGGAAATTGTCATGGTAGCTACTTACTTACTTACTTACTTTATTTATTTATTTCTAGCCTGCCGTATTAGCCATACAGATTCCCCGGGTGGGTTACAGCAATAAAATATAAAATAAAATACAAAATAGAATAAAATACAGAATGAATCACTACTTAAAGCATCTTGCTCCATAGCATTTTAATCATTTGCCAATTAATTATTAAATTAGCTGCTATCCTCATGGCCTTGATACATTTCCAGTATGGCTTTGCTACTGAGTAGGGTCTTGACCCAGTGATATCTCAAAATTTGTATACATTCTTTAAATTCATTGGTATTATTTTATATTTGCCCCAGGGCCCTCCAAGTGTTGTTGGACCAGTGTTCAGGAATGATGGGAATTGGAGTACCACATTATAAAGTACACGTTTAAAATATAATGAGACATTTTAAAAATGTAAATACAAGTTCAGGAAAGTGTGAGCGCTTTCTGGAAGAAAATGAGCTCTTGTTCATGTTTAAAGGGAACAAATTTCAATGCTTTCCTAACCAAAGCAATATTCTTATACATCTTCAATTGTGATCACCTTGTTATTCTTTCACTTTAGGATTTTGGTGATGATGGATCCCTGTACATTACTAAGATTACTACAACTCACATGGGAAACTACAGCTGCTATGCAGATGGCTATGATAAACTTTATCAGATTCATATTCTTCAAGTGAATGGTAAGACGTTCTAGTAGCCAATTGTGCCATAGTTTCTAGACTTAATTTAGTAGGTTGTGTTGATTTCTGTAATGTTATGTGAATGTCAAAGAAAAAAAAACAGATATGGGTAATATAATTTCATTAACATTTCTCATTTACAAAGAAATGTGCAGTGAAAATACACTTTGATCACTTCATGTAGCAATCCTGAATAATTGTTTTTGAAAATAATAAGAAAGAAAGACCACAAAGTCTGTTCATTCTAATCTTTAAGCTCTCAATACAGTGAAACAGTTTGCATGCTTAGTATTCTGTCTGCACAATAATAGGCATTTATGGAAATGGTGGCCTTGAATAACAACTTAATAAAGTTATTGCACATGTACAGCTCTGCTGCGTTTCAATAACACGGCATGGTTTCCTGATTAAAAATTGTCATGATAGTAAAGAAAATATGACTTAAAACTCTGAGCCGTCTAATGCTTCCAAAAAGCCATCACAGAACAGAGCTACTCGAATTCAGTAACATGAATGACATTTCTCTCTTTAACTGCTTAAAATGTTAATGGTTTTCCTGCTATTTTGAAGATCCCTCCCAATACATAAAATGATTGAATCTGCATTTTGATTTCTTTGATAAAATGATTATCTCTGAACATTTATCAGCTGGGCAATGACCAATCACCATCACTTCCTGTACAGGCAGGAAGCTGTCAAAATTTCCTTGGTGTGATAGATACTGCATCAAACACCAATGGAATGTAAATGGGATGCAGATAGCTCCAAGCCTATCTATCACCCAAAGGGGAGGAGGTGTTGTGGAAGGTCAAGATATAGATTCTGGATGGATGTGATATGCCTTGCAGTCATACACACTCAATGCAATCACAGGGTGACAATGATTTTGCAGTATTCCTGAAGTGATAGTTCTGTCTCCGCTTTTTTATTAAATCAGATAATGCATTTATGAAACCTTTTGCTTCTAAATACTTGAGCTACCATGAATCAAAATATGAAACTTAATGCATTGGTCAGACAAAACAGCAATTTAATGGGCTGTGTTTGTAGATCTAACCAGTCTGTTCCTAAATGTGGGCAAGGAAGTCAGTACTTATAGTTCAGAAAACTGATTAATTAATATAATGGCACTTCCATAACAGCAGACTCAAAAGAAGGTTAATGAGATAATGAGGCTTAGTTGATCTTTAAGATCTAATATAAGAGTACTTTGAGCATGGTTTAATTGGATTTTAAGCACTTTTCTACTATTGTATGTTTTCATTCACATGGATCAGCAGCAGTTTTTGTCATTATATTCTTTTAAATGTTCTATTAACCATGGTTCCCTTTTGTTTTTGCTATGCTTTTCTCCCTACACTATTACATATGGAATAAAAATGTAATGTAGTGGTAGTAATACAGATTATCTTCTTCTTTGATGTGGACAGTATTTACTACCTTACCTAAGGAAAATCAATATATTTAATAAAAATATGTCTTCTACCATGTAGGTATTTAAGAAGGGACATTCTTTTTCAAACAATGCATATACAAAACCAAGGACCATTTTAATGTAATTAAATATTTGCATTAACTCTGTTAAAAGACATCACAATATCATGCACATTCAAAGGTCTGCAGTTTACATACAAAGGTGATGGTAATGCATAAGAAGTAATTTTTCAGTTTCAGACCCTAAGAGATGTCATAGGAAACATCTGTCCTTACTAGACACTGTGAGTCTGGATTGCAGATGTCCATTATGGGAGAGTTTAGACTGTTGTGACAACTGGGGTTCATCTGGATTCCAGCTAAGTGGGATTCAGATTTCTCAGAGAGGGAAAAAATCAGAGATAGAGATTACCACAGAAACTTATAAGCTGGAGGCCAAAAAAGCTTCCTTGGGTATTGCTCCAACAAGAAACAGATGGTGACTGAGCTTTTGCAGGATTCTTGGATTTCTTAAGGTCACTTAGCTCTGCATCCCTATTTATCAAGACTTTCTCCATTTAAGAGATAAATCAGTTCCAGCAGCTTCTACCTACAGTGTACTAGCATCATGATATCTTCATGGCGATAGCAACACAAGTCTTGTAGACCCTGGAACCATCAAAGAGAATTGAATTCTAAGAAAGGGGAAGGTGCATGACACTTTTCTGTACCAAGCCCTCACAATCATTTCAGATCAGGTTGAAGGGTGAGGGTCCTGCACCATGACAATAATGCCAAGGTAATCTGTGAATTACATCCCTTTACTCATTGCCTAATTTGTCACATTGACACAAAAGGTGGATACGAGACAGGGTGTCTCATTGAGTACATCAATGGATGGCTGTTCTTATAATCTGAAATGTAGACTAAGCTGGATTCAATAAAACCAGCATTTCTGTCAGACTCACATCCCTAAGTATTGGGAGCACCTGAGCCACTAACTTCTGTACCACCAGATTCTTGACAACTTCTGTGATCTCATAAGTAGGAGTGAATGAGTAGCAGTACCTGAGGCAGTCTAAGAGACATTTTCCTCACTGTCCTGCCTTCCAGCTCTATCTTTCCTTCCCATGTGCCCAAATGAGAACAATATCCTCATTCCGCACCATACCTTACATACTGCTTGCCCCTGTGTGGTGGTCAAAATGTCAGACCCAGAAGATTGGGTTCTTGTCCCTACTTGGCCATGCAACACATTTGAATGACTTTGGGCTGGTCTCTCACTCTCTACTAATCTACCTCATGGGGTTATGAAGTTGCAGGATTATGAGGATGATATGGAGTGGAAGTAGTCCATTTAAAAATACAGTCTTCCTTGTATTTGTCATATCCATTGCTTACTCTTTAGTTGTAGCTGCTGTACTGTCTGGGCAGCATTTTTCCTCCTTTGAAAAATCAGGTGATTTTAGTGTGTGTCTTGTCTTGGAGGCAGCACACTTCTTGTTGGGAACATTGGACAAGATGAGCACTGGAAGGAGTCTTTCCTGCCACATCCACCTATACTGGCTGATGGAATTGGAGGACATACTGTTTGTCTGTCTGTCTCTCCTTTTCCCTGAAGGAGCCCAGGGCAGCCTACATCATCATTCTTCTTCCGTTTACCCCAAAAGAAAGAGAGTATCCCAAAAGTACCCAATGGCTTTTGTAAATGAATGGGATTTGAACTTCTTCCCATTCCTAGTCAAACACTAATCACACTGTACCACTTTGGCACTATTGCATACTACTGCAGAAAGTCTTAATTCAATGTACTCTTATTAAGGGTATAATATTCTGGCAAAAATGAACACAAGGTGCAGTCTTGACAGGTTGCAGAGAAATGGCTATTTGTTCCAGGAAGGCTTTGTTGTTGACTGAGGACTAAGCTCTTATACAGTCCCTCAGCCTGAACAACCCTCACAGGTTCCACTCCTTGCTAGAGAAGGAAGGGTTTTTGTTTTTTGTTTTGTTTTTTTAAGGGATAGAGCTTTGGCTTGAGCCTTGGCACTCAGTTACCTTTCCGCTGCTAATGAGCATGCTGCTTGCAATCATTCAACAATTTGGGGTTCGTTGAGCCATCAGTGGAGTCTGGCCCAGAAGCTACACTCACTCAGTTCCTGATCCAGACGTTATGAGTTCACAGGGTGCCTTGTAGACTCAGGCTCTGAGGACCGGTTGTCCTTTTCCCCCAGTCCCTTCCCTTCAAGTCACTCTTCAATTCAGTCCTGGAAGTATGTATCAAGGTAATCAGGTATGCAACTTTTGAGCCAGTGATGTTTTTCAGTAAGATTTATATCCTACACACACACACTTAGGATGAAGTATATGCACAGATTCAATTGGTTCAGTCTGGATCCAAACCAAGGTGCATTCAAATTCCCTCCAGGGGATCTCCTTACTAGAAACTAGCAACTGCTAGCTATAAATCAACTATAAAGTTTGTTAGATCTAATTTTCTCTTTCTGAAACTGTTCAATGCTTTTCCTTTTACTTATGATTATTATCAAGATGCACAAGGCATCAAAGTCATTTCTTTGTTACCAGCACAATCATATCATGCTGAGTCCATTTCGTATAAACAGTGGGGTAACATCCGAAAATACGTTATCTCATTTCATAATAGTTGAAATTATTTTTTCATCTTTTATCTTTCATACTTCACATGTCAACAACTATGTTTTCACTTTTAAGATTTTATGGGCGTGTGTTTGTTGTGGTCTTTAATGCAAAGCAGCATTAAGGAGATTTTAAAGAGACTGGGAAATCGTTTTCTATTTAGTATTCTTTCTCAAATAACCTAAGTTCTTTTTATATCTGAATTAAAAAACCTGACCAATTGTGTGGTAAAATATCTAATTAGTTGACAAGAATCCTTTCTTTCTTAATTAAAACATGCCCGGTTTGTTTTCATGTGCCCTTTGTCTGCTGTTGCTAACATATTTCAAGGTAGTTTTTTTCTGTTTGTTTGTTTTGAGTGCCTATTTCCATACTAATTTGCCTACACTTTAAAATTGTCTGCTGATTCCTTTAATCAAGTTCTTCATCCTCCAGAGGGGTGACAAACATCAACCTGGGCACCTGCGGTCCTTCAGATGTGTTGCCCTGAATCTCCCAGCATTCCCAGCTGACTGAATGACACCAGTTTTGGGAATCCAGAACTAGGGGATAACTTTTTTTGGTTGTGGCACTCAGTTATGGGAGGCTTCTGTGCAGCCAATATTATTGCTATTTTGGTGCTAGGTGGAAATGCCCCAGGCTCATTTCATGTCTGTTACATTATTTATTCGCCTGCTTGCTTGTTACATTTTATACCCAGCCTTTCCATTAAAAAGATGCTCTTGGTGGCTAACAATAACAAGATCCATAAAACTGGGTAATCTAAAAACAAGAAAGCCTCTTGCTGTGCTGTAGCTACCCCAGGGCACTAGTGTGGCATGGACTTAAGGATTTTCTTTGAGCAATCCCAGCCAGAGGCCAACTTCCCATGGGATTGAGAAACAGGTAATGGCTTCAACTTTTCAAATTCAACATTTCTGTAAAGATTTTTT